CATTTCCGAAATTCTTCTTTTCACTAAAGATTGTTCTATAACTAAAATTCTTATATTATCCCAATCTAATTCATGCATCTCATTCATACGATGACGTGAAACCACAGAAATTTCGGAAGAAGGTTTTAAGTCGGCCTTATGTTCTTTAATCCGAGTTTTTAATTTCCTTTTAGTTTGGCCAACATAAGACGATTCACAGTTTAAGCAATTAATTTTATAAACCACTCCGCATTGGTCATCCTTAGGCAAAGAATCCATTCCTGTCTTAATAAATGTATTCATTTTATTCATAGATTTATAAGCTATATTAAAATCGTATACATGTGAAAGTTTTTTAAATTTTTCAGAAACTTTGCCCAAATATGGTATCGTGAAAAATTTTTTTGAAGTAACATTAGAGTCACAGTCATTATTAATTTCTTTACGATTTTGATCTAAATTAGTTCTGTTTTCCAAAGTTTTAATTCTATTATTTATTATTATATTGTTGAAAATATAAACTTTAAAGGATAACCATTACTTAGAAACGTGTGAATTAATTCAGAGATATTTTTTTCATGAAATTTAGGATGGGATAAGAATAGAATTCTATCGAATTGCCCAATAATAACTCCCCTTTTGTGTTCTAACGGATGATTCGAAAAATAATTTAAATATCTCCCAGAATTGGTAGGTTTTTTTATAAATATCGAAGATATTTATAAATATATATTCTCAGTATATCCTAAATATCTCCTAAGTTTCTTCAGATACGTACTCTGGATGTTTGAAAATCCTTCGACATTCATCTGTAGGATGTATCTAGGATTAATTTTTGCTGTGTAGGTCATTAATCATCTTAATTGTAACGAAATTACAGTTACAAGTTACTTTTTTTTATGACTGTAATGTAGTTACATTTTTTTTGGTAACGAATTTTACTTTTATCGTTACTTTGCACACGATTGGACATGGTTCGATTGAACACAAGCCACTTATAGCGCTTGAGATTAGAAAATCTCCAGGCATCTCCGTCCGCTGTAATTAGTGTTTGTCAATTTAAAAAAAATAACGGAAAAATTACTTTCTCAAGTATCTGTAACGAGTTACTTTTAAAAATCGGTAACTAATAATGGTAATTAATAACGGTTACTTTTTCTACTCGATAATGAATAACTGTAACTTTTGTTACTTTTAAAAAGTAACTTTCCATTCCTTGATTGATGTATTAAAAACGCGTATCTTTTTATGTTTATATAACAAGTTATTTTAACTTGATAGCGAAATTTTTGTAGCCAATTCCGTTAGAATAAAATTTTGCACAAATATCTCAAACGAGAATAGTGTACAAGATAAATGTACCAGTTAATAGACATGAACCATTGTTGGACAAAGTGATAAAATATTTAAAATATTAAGCTTTTATAATAATATGTACGATTCTAAATAAATTTATTACATTTTTATAAACAACAAATTTATTTAAAGTCGTATATATTATTAAAAGTTTAATATTTAAAATTTTGTACCACTTTGTCCAATGAATTCGATCATGTCTACTAACTGTCTATTAACTGATGTATTTACTTTATATATCAAGCATAAAGAGTGATTAAGGGTCTATTAAGTCTCTTGAAACGAATAAAAATACGAAAAATAATGTGAATAATAAGGCGATAGACAATAAGCTAATTTTTATTGGACTTTATCCACAATCTAAAGAGCGTAATGTGTTCGTGTCCTTTATATGTACAAATTACTCTCGAGGAAATTCGATCGAAGATAGACATGCTAAACGTGCCCAAAGTGACACGATAATCGAGGGAGAGACGAAAAAAAAGAATCAATAAGAGTAACGATAAAAGTGAGTAATGTATGATTTGACTGTAAATAATTACTAGAATTATTGGTACGAGAGAAAACTTGAAATGATCGAGTGTCAGTTTTAGATCGTATAAATAAGAGAGCACTCGCGTCCCTTAAGATTCGCAAACATGGTACGTTGGTATATCTTTACGGTAAAAGTAAATCGGCGAAATTCTTTCTTGTTGCTTGTAAATTCAATTGGTTTTTATCTACAGATAATTTGTGAATTTGCTCTGCTGTTATTCGCTTCTCTGCATATAGCATCAAGCAGCAGTAATCAATGGTACAACGCTATAGAATTTTGGAGTAACGTCGTTTGCTCTATGAAAGATATTAAAACCGTGAATTTTCACGGTGTACTTGAGAGTAGTAGTATTAGTAGGAGGAGTGCTATTTTTCTCGAACGATATTTTCAGGCTTTTATATACGATATCACGCACAAGTGTGAGACAACGATTTTATCGAGGATTTATACGCCTCCTGATTCAGAAAATCTTTTCGTAAATAACGACATAGCTTACAGAGTTGTAAAACGGCCATCGATCTGGAAGATTATATCCGGCGACGCGCTTCCTTCTCGAGTAATGCTGTTGAATAATGTAACTAAAAAGATACGAAGCGACAAAACCTTTGACAGAACATGGAACATGCACGTAATTCTTACGAGAGATGTGCACTTCTTCGATCAAATTTCAAAGGATAGTACGACATTCGAATGGAATTCGCATGATCGATTCATCGTGCTGTTCGCTCGTTTTTCAGAAGAACATGGATTGTCAAACGAATTGAACTCGAAAATCGACGATATCTTGAAGACATTGTGGTTCAAACATAAGGTGCATAAGGTTTTTGTCTCCGAGGCGATATTCATAAACGACATCGTTCGAATTGATCGAACTGTTCGCACTTACAATCCATTTACTAAAGTCAACAACTCTGGTTTGTAGATTTTTTTCCTTAGAGAAAATTCATAATACCAAGACTATGAAATAATTGAATGGATACACAAATCATTTTATACATCCGTATAATTTCTGTACGCATAAAGAAAGATAATAAAAAATATTTAGCATCTACTTGATTTCAGTGTGGGGTCGAGTCGAAATTATAAATGTAGTAACAGCGGAAGAAGCGTCAAAAATGCTGTTACATTTAACATACCGCCGCACGAAAAATATGAATGAATATGTATTAAAAGTTGGTTACTTTAAGCCAAAAGAAAAATCAATCACAGAACCGATAAAAAATCAGTCGATTGCACGTTACAGTTACGCCGAAATCTTCAAAGAATTTGATAAGAAAATGTTAAATACAATTGCTCAAGACATGAATTTTCAAATAAAATACGTATATCCGACGGATAATCAATGGTTTGGTTCTCAATTGTTTAATGGAACGTACGTCGGTGCTATAGGTATTTAGTGATATTTCAAATTATTCGCGATATATAAGTTCCTGTTATTTTTGTTTCTGTTTCTATTTCTTTTGAATAACCGATAGTACATAGTCAGCTTACACAGGCGACATAGTGTACGGTAGAACGGACATCTGCTTCATATCTTTCTTCGTAAAGAAATACAGTATAAGTCCCAAGGAAGATGTAGACTTTAGTACATACGTGGACTTTGACAGAATATGCATAGTTGTCCCTAAAGCAACCAAGATACCTAAAGGAATTCGAATATATCACTTTTTTCCATTGTCGATTTGGATCTGTTTAATGTTGACGCACATTTTCACGTATTTAATATGGTATTTTCTGCAAGTCTTTACTCCAAAAAGGTACAGTACTCGTATCTGAATGACGTTAACGACGCAAATTATTTCACTGACAATGAGTGAAAAAAATGAAGATACATTGTGATACATACTTACTTTTAGGACGAGAAAGAGAAGTTTACGTGCAACGATCTATCGATCGTTTCTATTCAATTTAGGTTGTCCCCAAAAATTGCCAAATACAAACGCGGAAAGGATATTACTGTCAGGCGTTTTTCTTGTTAACGTCACTTTAGTTGGAATCTTCAACGGTATTTTGTATAACAGTTTCGCGTATGACATGTATTATCCAGACATCAACAGTCTTCACGATCTTGACGTTTCGGGATTGCCGATATCCTTTTCTTCCGCTAGCCTGGTCGATCTCTTTAACAACGATGATAATAACGTCGAGTCGGCACTGCGAAATTTGCGAAAGAAAATACAATTCAATGAAAATGGTATAATCAGCACGGCTCATTATCGTAACACCTCGGCATTTGCTAGAGAAAGATATTTTCCCGTTATCAGCGAGGAATTGGCTGATGCGGATGGTGGGCCATTACTTCATCTTGTCAAGGAATGTCCCGGTACGAAAAATATAATAACAAGTACTCATAGAAATTCTAATTATGTACGCTCAGATATGTCTGTGTATGATAAATATTACATGAGTATAAATTCTAGGTAAATTCTACTTGTCGTATTTGCTGCCCAAGAATTCAATTTTCAACGAAAAGGTAAACACATTGATCGACCACTTGAATCAAGCTGGTTTACCGTCGTTATGGTATCGATACATTGTTAACGCCTTCGACATTCGCAAAAAGTTACTGTCCAAAGAAATATTAGTTCGAAACAAAAAGAAAATGGGCTTCGTGCCATTTACTTTAGCTGATATGCAGTCATCTTTCTACATGCTACTGATAGGATTATTACTATCCACAATAGTATTTTTTCATGAGAAGCGCTGGTTAAAAGTACCATTGTTGCATATTGAAAAACCAAACTATAAATCTACACGCATTAATCATTGAATGGTAGAATCGCGTTCTTTTTTTCAACTTTTGCAATTTTCTCAGGATTTTTTCAGAAATCAAAATTGTTCAAATGATATGAACAAACTCAAATAATGTATGCAATTATAAACAAAATTATGAAAAATACTTTCTCTTTTTTTCTCACGATTCCATCTTTTCTCTCTCGATCATTTCCAATTTCTTCCAATGAGATGAGGCTGCCTTCGTAACCATCCAAAAGGTATGGGAATCATAATTCTCGACAATTGATAAAATTAAGTAGATACAAAGTCAACCTTGTCACTATCGATTTTTTTTCAGAAAAAATTTACTTTGATCCAGTATGGCGACCCCTTGCATTCTTCTGAGGGATATGGAAGTTTCCTCCATCTTGAAATAAGAGTATTAACTATCGATTGCAACAACATTCAACCTTGACGCTTTCAGTAAAAATGCTCAAAATCTACACATTTTGGAAAGCCCACCTTCTCTTTAAGCGATCGCGACGAGGCTTAAATATGTATATATAGTTTTATGTTTTACATGAAATAAAAGATTACCCATTTCCCATACTTGTCGCTATGGGTAACAAAATCAGTGGCCTCTTGGTCTGACAAACAAACAGAACATCGAGGATGCGTTGCTTGTAGTGGTACTGTTGCTGTTCCTCAAGGTATCCTGAGTTTGCTTTCCGCACTTTGGGAGATTATTTTTTTTTATTGTTATCACAAATTTGAAGAGTTAATTAATATTTCAGCGCTATTAAATAGCATTAACTTTATCTTATATCGTTCTACGTCGCAGCAATTTCATTTGATTTTTTTTGGGTAGTTGTTCAAACCCAAAATTATAAACAATTGAACAAATCAATCATCAAATTGACAGTACGTTTAACGGAAATTTGCAAAAGTAATTTTTTTAAATAAAATATTCTCAAATATAAATAATCTCAAAAATACTTTACTTACGTAGGATTCGCAAGTATATACATTATGTACGTTAATACAAAATAATTATAATATACATATATATTACAGTATTACATTATAAACAAAATGTATTACGGTAAAAGATGTTGATACAGGTACTTATTCCATTTGCATTAAAGAAGACTTTGAATAAAAATCAAGAAATTATGTCATTTATGTAGTATTAGGAGATTATTGCTAATAGAGATTATTGTTGTCAACAAAATTAAATGTATGTGTATACGAATACATAGCATGCATATCTTTTTTAATTTAATAAATTTAATAAATAAACTCTCGACACACACACACACACACACACACATACACAATTTTTTCACACGCACAGTTAATCTCTTTTTTGTAATTTTGCTTATTCTAAATGTACCTGCTTATTCTAAATACTGCTTATTCTAAATGTACGTGTGTACTTTTCAAAATAAAACGATAAATACATGTAGTATGTGTAATTTGTAATAAAACACACTTTGTGTAAAACGCACTCTCCAATAGAAATGTGTAATTGCCAAGATTCTTCTCTTTGATTCTTTTTCCTAATAAAATTTCTGGAAATAACACGAACACTTTCGTATTATCGCGCGACAAATAACATGATTTTTAAACTTCGTCAGGACTCAATTGTCGCTTTTCATATTTTTCCGTTGATATTTCTTGACCGGTAGTCGATTCCGTTTTTTCGCGTTGTAATTTCTTTAATAACTTGCTTGCCATTTGTGATATCTATATGTCGTGATACATTAATGTAATATGTATAATTATAGCGTGCAACAATATACCAAGATATATACACCAAATATTATATATATCTTGTGTATGTATATATATATATATATATATACACACACACACACACACACACACACACACACACACACACACACACACACATATATAGCGCATGATTTTTAAATTACCTGCATATCGACTTCAACGACAGCCATAATGTCATTGAGCGCTGTTAAAATTTCAGCGGCATCAGCTTGTTTCCCGCGAGCATCAAGTACCACAGCATAATTGATCAAAATTAATGGATCCTGAGGAGCTAATGCGTGTGCTTTCGTCAATGATCTTTCGGCACCTTCCAGATCATCCAAACGTTTTAGAGCCACTGAGATAAGAAGAGAAAAAAAGAGAATTCATATTTCAAAAAGAATTCATATTTCAAAAGGAAATACGTTCTGTTGATAATAAAACTCTGGTATAAGACCTCTTTTTGGATGTCCTGTTCTTGTTTTGTTAATCACTAATAAAATTAATGGCGAATTCGATTGAAAGCACTAGTGCGTACTGATGCATATTAAAGCCGTTATACACTTTAATTTGAATAATATAATAAAAATATATAATATAAAAATGAAATTCAAATATTAATTCGAATTATAAAATACATATTTGGAAGTTTGGGAAGTGTCCGGAACTTGAAGGATCTTCGTGAAGGAATTATGTCCATGGCGACATGAAATAATTGAGACTCGCGATTGTGATAAATTTTCCTTTTTAATCTGGTATGTACAAGTGTTGTCTCTAGTCGGAGTCTTACAGTCGAATCTCTTCGTTCGCTCGTTTCGTGCTCTGTTCAAGAACTTTTTCATAAAATAAAAATATTGTTTCCGTAGGTCGTTACTTTATTTCAAATAAGTTTGTTTAATGCGTGATTTTCTTCGAAATTCAACGCATCTTCGCCTTATACAATAGTTGTGGCAATAAAATTGTCGGTACACATATTTTACCTAATAAATGTATTGAGTATTTCACAATCTAATCGATTTCTATGTTTATTTATATGTTTTACGTTATTTTGTGCACCAGTAGTGCGCACCAGTGAGTGCGTCCAATCGAATTCGCTATAACTAAATTAGGCTTCTTTTATAGTGAATAATAAAATTATATAAAATATAAAGACTTAAATTTGTTTTTTGTACTCACAACCCAATAACAGATATGGCATAGAATTCTTCGGCTGTCCAGTGGTAAGAAAAACGACTCCCAGGTTGCACGACGGAACGCAAGACATCGGGTGCAAATAATGTGCTCGTTTCAGCGAGCTAATAGCCTACGAAATATTGCAAAGGAACATGGTTTGGAACATGGAAATATTTGTGAATTTACAATACTCTTACAATAAAATTATGCAGTAAATTTATAAACCATATTACGTTTTGCTGTGGTTTCACAATATTTGTAAATTTACAATAGAAATTTGTTATGAATGTACAAAACTGACGCGCTGCGTATTAGAGATTTGCTTCACTACAAAAAAATATTGTAATTTCGCAATATAACTATTTTTAATTTATAGTACAATTTTGTTAGATACAAACTTTTGGAAATTTGCAATAGAAATTTCTTACAGTGAATATTTTGATTTTGCATTTAGTCTTTCGCATTATCTTGTCGATAATGATTCAAATATTTCCTTTGATTGCATCGCTTCTAAAAGAATATTCATCTATAACGTAAATTGAATTCATGAATAAAAATCATTGCTTTATATCCTATCTTAAAATTGATCACATTATCTGCCCTTTTCATTGAGGTTGTTAAAGTATTTCGATTCCAGTGAAATGTAATGTTTGAATTGGTTTTCGCCGATTTCGAATGCGGACCTAAAATTTGAAAATTCAAAATGGCTGAATCAATATGGCAGATGGAAATGTTATGGAAATGCTGAAAGTCTTCCGATTTCGGCGAAATGTAGTGTTAAAGGAATTTTAAGAGTCGCGTGTTCTGAATCTGAATTTAAAATTTGAAAATAAAAAATAGCTGAACCAATATGGCGGACGCACACTATTTATGTGATAATCTATCTCACACAAAGTGACTTTATACACTACTAAAAATAGATTTGGAAATAGAATAGGAAGTTATTTTTTTTTGGAAGAGCACACATCAAGCGCGTATAACAATTTATGATTATATAACGGTTTTTTCTGAGAGGAGCACGCACAGTTAGCGCCATTTTTTTTAAAAAGATTTATATTATTAACTTAAAAATTCTTTATAACCATTTATTTCCTTTTTTGTTAATCTCTTGCGATTTATTATTTTTTTAACAAACTGATAATAAAATAAAATAATAAAATCAAATAAAACTGTAAAACAAAGATCTATAAGAAGTCAACGCGATACTTTAAGCGAAATACTATTTATTCTTGCAATTAATTACGATATCAAATTTCTATTACACATTACAATATATTGTACCTTGATTCAAATCATCTTCAGCGATGTCGATAATGATGAATCGCTGATTGACAAAATTCCGCATATAGACACATGTGATGGTTACTTATGTCTTATATATAAATATTACAAATTTCGTTTTCCCAAGTATGCTACGTTTGACAAATTCATACCATGTAGTGCAAAACGATGCAGTAAAACTATACTTGTATATCAAAGTGCTGATCAAATGCGAATATCAATTTAAATTATATTATTGGACTGCTTTTTAGCAACTAGATCAAATGAAACGTTATCACATTACTTCGTCATGCATTTGAGTAACCGACTATCTATAACTCGTTAGTGGAAAAATATATGAATAAAAGTCCATCGTCACCGATGGTTGTGATGTAACTATGACATTTTTTGCTATGGTGGAATATTGCTATAAGTTGAGTCATCGCGTGCTTCAAATAGGAGATATTCAGAGAAAAAGCGATAAAGGTAAAGATGAAGGTAAAGCAAAAGAAAAAAAAAAGAGTAGACTCACCGCAACATACTTTTGTTTTGCGTAAAGGCACATTCCAATGTTATTCCAAAGGATCGAAGATTCTGGAATGGTCTGTGCCGCAATTTTATATTTCGATAAGGCCACATCGTACTCTCGATGACTCTGGAAAATATAATATACGCTGTTCAACGAAGCAAAGAAACAAATTACATGAAGAATGCAAAATAAAAATAAGTAAATCTTAATAATCTGACGAATATGCATTTGCGATAGAATATGCCTTCATTAGTTATTTATAATATATTATTATTAGCAAAGCAGAATAATGCTTTACCTACTTTATAAATCAAATGAAACAATCAATTTAAATAATCGGAAATTAATTTGAGGAAAATAATCAGAATGAACATATAATTGGAGTACAAGATATCAACCGATTAAATTTTTTCGTAAATTAAAAAAAAAGTGCTCAAAGAGATGTTACTGTATGAATTTCTATAAATTTATGCACCTGCATTACATAAGCCATAGGCAAGATTGCCTTGACGCAATTAGGCGAATGAGCTAAAGCTGCTCCAAATTGCTGAAATGCTCGTTGCGTATCTCCGATTTTAAGATATAAGAGACCCAGTTCTGTCGCTGCATCTATACTCTGGGGATTCCCGCTAAGGATAAAGAAAGTGTCGAAAGTTTAAGTATCAAAATGATAGAAACGCTATCGAAAGAAAGGAAACAAGAAAGCAATTGATAAAATCAGAAAAGAAGAAGAAAATTTAGAAGAATATTAAGAAGAAAAACGGTAAGCTAAGAAAACATGTTGACGATGTGATAAAAAAAATTATTCTACATGGTAATAAATATTTTTAATTTGTTCGCAACTAATGGTACATGAAAGTTAACATAATTTAATTAATTCCTAATTCACGCGATTCATAGGTGCGACTTGTGATATAACTTACTTTAAAGCTGCCGTATAAGCATTTCTAGCTTCTGGAATCATATCATCTAAGAGATAGAGTCTCGCAAGATCAATATTGGGCAATTCAATTTTGGTTAATTCCGTGGATCTTTTGAAATATTTTTTACCCTCTTGTAATTGGTTCAATTTTACATAAGCCTCGCCTGAAGACGGGAAAGAAAATAATTCCGTGGACAAAAAGCGTTATTTTATTTAACAGTTAAACTTTATAGCTTTAATTATGCTCAAAGCAAATATTTGAAACGCGGTTACATACTTATTTATACGAATGCGACAATACATTCGAGCAAAAATACATTTTCCACAAAATTAATAAAGTAGCATTTTCTGATAGGTGCATCTGCAAGTTTATAAAACTTAGCTAATGTGTTGTGCAAAATAATACATCGCATTGTGAAACAAATAACTTGCCAAGGCCATGATATATTTCCCAATCTGGTAGAATAGATATCTTTTCGGCTTCCGCATATGCATCTATCGCGCGTTTGTGACTTCCCATTATCAGTCTAAAAATTGTCGCGTTAATAATTCGCGATATTCGTCATATATTATGTAATTTGTATTAAGAATAATTTTTAATTAACTTACAACGATTTTGCTATCTGTTTAACGTTATCGATGTTTGTCGAATTCACATTATACGCGATTTGAAAACAATCCAAGGAATCTTGAATCCTACCCTCCTTTCGAAGAATTAAACCCTATCAATAAGATCATTATGTATTATCTGATATGCATAATAAAGATAAATATTAGTAGTTGTTTATAGTTATAGTTTATAGTTATTCATTATTTACAGGCTATACGATAGAATAAAGATATTATTCTTTTGTCGAATAGTTTTTAGCAAATTCAGTCACACTTGCATTATTAGATTAGTGCACACTAAAATTGCTAAATACGAAATTAGTGATGTTGAAGCATATAAAAAATATTTTAAACGATTAAAAACCTAATAATAATACTTATATGTTATATAACAAAATATATATTTAATTGTTAAAATTAATTATATTGCAACTGCATTTAAATATCTTAGTCATCAAGTAATCTTTAATATGTCTACTAATCTAGTGTGAGAGACCAAAATCAATATTTCATTATTTCCACTTTCCATCATAGTTTGTCGCAGGTCGCAGACAATGGCGGATGGTGGCAAACTATCGACATTATCAATTTTTATTTTTGTGCATCAAGTTATGTATCAAGAGGACTTTCGATTATTCTCGAAAAATATTGCACATAAAAGAGTAATAGTAGTGTATTATATACATAAAACATATTCTATGATATTTTTGTATGCGACATTATTTGGGAGAATAGTCTCGATCGCACCTTTAAATAATTGGCGTATTCGTGACCATTAGATTTCATTAATTCCTGCTCGATGAGTAGCTTGCAAGCGCTGTATTCGTGTCTCGTGTAATGTCGATGTAGCAACCAATTGCGACTTTCTATTGCTGCTATGTCTGGTGCTGCGTCCAATAAAAGAAACCAACAATAAGAAACACGATAGAAAAATTACATCTGACAAAGAGCAATTCCGATGACGCACATCACAAGATTAATAGGGAATTTTTGCAACGTGAATCCAGATACGGTGAACGCTAAAATTATCCTTTTCTTAATTGTCAAGAAGATAAGCGTGACCTTGACATTCACCGCGTATCTGGCGGTAAACTCCCTCTTATCTTGTTATCAAAACTCAATCGATAGTGAATCAAGTACGTATAAATACGTTCATTTATACTTAAAGTTTTGATTGAATTGAATGATACCTCGATTGCCTCGATCGTTTCTTGTTCGTTGTACAACAGTGTTTTCTCGTAAACGGCCATTGCTGAGAATGTCATTTGCCATTTTTACGAAACTCTAATCTTGACGATCTGTTTCTCTCGTGCCCATTCGTTTGATAACTGTTGATAACTTACTTTTCGTAAGTTTGACAAGTTCGATTGCCATGGTAACGAAATGTAAACTCACTTGGCGCACCCCGCGTATGGCATAGATGGTCCAATTTTTTATTCGCTGGATACGGAATAGCGTAAGCCAATGGCCGCGTTCAGTAGACACAACTCTTGCGGAAGAATCTGTGAGCGCTCGCTGCTATTGGTGTATTCTTTTAGATATCCAGTAGCAGCGAGCGTTCCGTTTCGCAACATTTGAGCTACTGAACGTGATCAATCTGTGTGATTGCGTGGAATCGGA